GGAATTAAATTCAGACTTAGTAACTTAAGGACTCAGTAAAGGAACACCAGCTATTTGTATTTATTCACAATTGAAAACGGAAATGGCAATCAAAATGGCTAAACAACAGCAAGAGTATTTTCATAAACGAACAAACTGAGCATATCTTCTTCCTTGCTAGTTAATGCTGTTGTCTGTGCTATCCAAATAAACTACCTACTTATCAATATGAGAAAGCATCCCGAAAATTGAAAAATGTGTCAGATTGCTAATTCCAAAATGAGAAGATCTTGTTTGTTAGTATTTATTGGTGACATTTTTGGAGCTGTTGTGTTATAACTTACGAATTTTTTATTCTTGATCCAGCTATGAGACTGTTTTTTCAAGATTCTATTAATTTAATATAATAGCAGTCTGTGTGAAAAATCTGAAGCAAGCAAGAAAGGAGCATCCCAACAGAAGCCTTTGCAAACTTCTAGGAAAAGGAAAAGTATTGGGCCCCAAACTGTGTATTGTTATTCCTTCCCAGATATGCTACAATGCTGACTATGAACAGAGAAGTATATAGAGATTAAAATAGAACACACTCTGATCTTTGTAGAACCTTTCTTTTTCTTGATTGCCATTATCAAGTGATGTGCAGATGTATTTTTACATCAGTGTTTAAGTCATTATTCTATACTTAAGGAGATTTGTTTTAAAAGCGAATATAAACAGCGCTTTATGTTAGAAATGCTGCCTGCACTCTTTAGAAACACATCTCAAAATCCCAAAGACAAGGACTGAGGGACTTATGGAAGGAAAATTGTTGAGGAGCAAGAGAATGGCATTTCTATGTGTGAGATCTCACACCTCTGAAAGTGCTCTGATGTGCAAGACAGAGGGCATAACTAAAGCTAGCTCTGAAACAGGGATGCCATCATTATTCATGGTTCATGTGTTAACCAGCTGACATGTTGGAAACAGGAACAAAACAGTATAGCTTGTGACTCAGCATCTGTGAATGTGTTTATGTTCTGGCATACACTGGTCACCTAAGTTGATGAGAGTCTCCTAGATAAGTCTCTCAGTAGTGAGTGAACTGCATATTGCCTGCTGAAGAAAGTAGGTTACATGAATACTAAAGTCCTCTGTATTTGAAGTAACAGGATAATTAGTACTGACACATCGGGGATTGCCCATTTTTTGCATACTTTGCTGGCAATAATGCTTTAAACCTATGCTGCATCTCAGATATTGTCACTGACAAGGGATGCTTGCAAATGCTAAGCAGTTAGACCATGTCATCACATGATCTAAGCACTTTTTTTTTTTTTTTTGCAATGAACATCTTGTGGCATAACATTGACACTAAAGTCATTTAGTAAATATTGTTAATAGACACCTTTCGCACAGTTATGATGCCTTCCTGTGTGTCCTTCTGTGTCACAATATCAAACATATCAGTGCCATCGCCATCTATAATTCTGTACTCTACTTCTGCATTTTTTCCAGTGTCTGCATCTGTGGCTTTGACACTGCCAATGGCTGTCCCAACTGGGGAGGACTCAGGAATGCGGAGGTGGATGGTACCTGTCAAAGAGACAAAGAGCGACTCAGGAACCCCACAAGCCATTACACATGCATTAAGTAACATTGTGTCACACAATAGCTGATTACATATTTTTGTGTGTCTTTTATTCTAGAGAACTTGCCATTTAATACTGCAAGGATGAGAAAAATGTGAGGCAGAGAATATGCAGAGGAAAACTCTAGGTAGAAGACTGAAAACAAAATCATGGAAAAACAAAATAATAGAAAATTAGGATATCTTAAGATATTATATCTTAAAGGTATCCTTTAAGATATTATATCTTAAAGAAGAATCAGCTATGTCTGTGCTGTTCTTGTCTATGTAATTCCTGAAGTATCATCTGGAAAGACTGCTCTGTGCTCTTTTCAGGCTTCACTCTGCTTTTTACCCCTTAATATCTCAGGTGAATCTTTGGGATCCATTTTACATTTATCTTATCATGGAAGCAATACAAAGAACAGAATCCCCTGACTTCGCTGGCCAATTCTATGCAGCGACTGACATTTCGTCTTTCAAAATTAGATAGTCAGACACAATGTTAAATAAATTTGAATGACATTTTAATGCAGGGATATTTTTTTGAAAATCCACAAGCAAAAGGTGTGCCTATATTTGTGAAAGCAGTTAATTCGTACTTAAATAAGGCTTATGAACATGGCAATTTTGATTTTTTTTACTTTACAGTTGTATCCCTTTGTTGCAGTGTCATATAGTTAATAAAAAACATAGGAATAAAACTGTCATCATTCAGACATGCTGCGATAAATTGAAATAAATATCTTGCCATATATTTCAGTATTCTATGTCCTAGCCTTACTGTGAAAACTGTAAATAAGGGTTGAGATCTTTGGTCCCATCTGTCAGAACATATGGTAAGAAAATGTGGGACATATAATGCACTATGAAGAATTCTCAGAAAAAGATTTTAAAATTAATGCAGATACAGCTGTCATTCCAAAGATGAAAGTTAAGTCATCGAAGCTCTGTTGAAAAACATTTTCTTCTGTGGCATTAGTTAAGTATTCCAACATTTGCTGTTTTACTTAAAGATTTCCTAAGGTAAGTAAAGTGAGTTAGACAGATAGTTCAGTTAACATGAACACGAAAGAGGAAGTGGTAAAGGCAAACAACCACAACAGGAAAGAGTTGAACAGGCTACTAAAAAGGCAGCACATATATACTCGTTACAAATAGGAAGTACAGAAAGTCTGTAAAGGGAGTTATTAGTTTTATGCAATCAGAAGAAGAATTGTGAAGAGAGCACAGTCGCAAGGCCGTAGGGGAAACCCGTTGGCAACATGATCTTATCATATCTTCAGGAAAGCACATGTGAGTCACGTGAGGATTATCAGTGTCTCCTAACAGACTATATTACAAGCCAGTTACAGAGGAAGGAACTGTTTTTGGTTTTGGGAGCACTCACTGAAAAAAACCCTGTTATTCATTGGGAAGTTTGAGACTTCTATTAATCAAAACTATTCTTTTTCTGTTCTGTTCTGTTATAGTGTGCCAAATTGGGAAAAAAAAAAAAAGGAACAAAGAAAAAAAAAAACAAGCCCACATTGACATATAGTTTGTAATTAAATATTGAATGAAAAATATTGACATTTAATTTCTTCATATAATTTTACTTAGGCCGCTTTTGATATGAAACTGGTATACAGCTGCAGAATTAATACTTTATGGCCATATACTCTCCACATTCTATTTATAGGAATTTATTTTTGCTCAGTTATGTTTTGGTGTTTCAGTTGAGTGATTTATCTTGCATTTGCTCTGACATTTTCATTACCTTTCTCTAATACCTAAATCCATGTACTTTGCTACGTTAGTATATAATCTCTCTGTAATCGCCTAGTGGTTAAAAAAAAAACAGAAGAAAAAATAGCCTCTGCTCCCATTTGGTATTTATTCAGCACTATGTAAGACTATGGGGAAAGACCATATTTTCCTCAATTAATATTTACGTTATAATTAGTTTTACGGTCTGTCAATTATTCCCCACATTTTTTTCTGGAGTGTTTAAAACTACATCCCCAAGCTATCCCTTGTGGACACTACCTTGACTTCCACTGCAATAGCCAACTCATTAATTTAGTCTACAAAGTGGTGAGAGCTCATATCTTGAACTGCTAATAAGGTAACGGAAACAGAGAGTGAAAATAACCAGAAACCTATCAAATGAAAGCTAAATTTATACCTAACCTATCCATTTATAGAACTCTCCACCATATTATGAGACATCTAGTTTTATTATTCTTGTCACTGAAGACATTTAATGCATTGACTAAGTATAGGATGCAGTCAAGCTTTAGACTCCATATCAGAACGTAAACAACATCAAACTAGAATTATTCTTGTAAAAGTCTGCTGTCAATCCTTTTTCTCTCACTTTTCTTCCTCAAGGAGAGTAATTTACTGTTTGCATTTGCTCCAGAGTGGTGCTCTTTTGTTTGTCTGTCAGGAATAAAAATGGGAGGATCAAGGAAAGGAAAATATTTCCATATACTAAGGAGAATGGAAACCAGCTGGAAGGCTGAAGCCTACACACTTGTGTCTGGAAATACTTCAGTCTATCATAATGAATCTTATTCACATTTACCCTTCTTCCCATTTACTCTTGAATAGGCACATGATGTAAAGGAAAATATTTTTATAGAGTAATACAGGCTGTACTCTCATAGGAGACATGAGAGGCTGCCATGACTCAGATGCACTGATTTTCAGTCAGACTCAGTCTCCTAAGTCCGTATACTAATTCTTCCATTTATCATTGGTCATTACCATCTCCTTACCTCTGAGTACAATTAGAAATATTACAGTTGAAACAAAGATCCAGTATCTGAGGTCTTTGATTTGCTTTCTTTGCAGAACCTTGGTAATATTTTAAATTTTATCATGTTTCCTCAGAAGAACAGCCACTGCTACCTATATGGTTTTCAGGAGATCTTTAAAAAGAGAAAAATATTCTGAAGAATCCTTGCTCTGTAATCTAAACAACAGAGGAATTAATGGCTCCTCTATATTTTGAGAAAGTATGATAAAATAAAATATGTAGAATTTTCCAGAGTTCTGAGTTTCTTCTGGGAGAAGTTTAATCTCTTATGAAACATTTTATTGTAAACATGTAGCTGTAATATGTCTAGTTCTGTGAAAACATAATGGACCTTTTAATATTTTTCCTGATAATTTATAAATCTGATATGAATATGATTGTCTCATGTACCTAATACACATCTGGTTTTTTTTTTTTATTTATGGAACAGAATAAGAAAAAATTAACATAATCAGTATAAATTCCAATAGTCTCATTGAACTCTATCAAAATTGTGAATTATTATAATGTCTATTTGCATTTTGAGATTAAATATAAAGATTTTTTGAAGAATCAATAGCTATTTTTACTTTCATATATCTAGTAAAATGAGTCAGCTTTATAAATGTTTCAGTTTTCATTTCCAGTGAAACATACATTTATATCTATCAAAGGTATCAGCAGAGAGAAAGTAGGAAGAAAACCAAGCCAAACCAACAACAACTCCCCCCTCGGCTGCCATGAAAGTAAAACTAAAAACTTCTTTAAAGCAAAATTCACATCTGATTTATAGTCTGACTAACATAAAAATGCAGAGATATTTCTGGGATGCTACATGAGATCCTCATCTGACTCAAACATGGTGATGGACTGCCAGATAAGTCATGTGAAAACAGTCTAGAAGTTGATTCCGTCCACTTCTTGAACACACTGTCCAAGAAACAAGAGGAAAAAAAGAAGAGCATAAATATGCACATTTGGTGCTTATATGCTCTCTTAAGTTTAACTGTTGAAATTAACTTTTCTGTAAAACTTTGAACATGACATCTCTTTGAATAGTCTTCCTCAATAGGTCCAGGGAGGAATAATACATCATTCCTCACCTACACAGCACTGGAATAACCACAATCCTCATACAAATGGAAACAAGAAGAACAAAAACCAAAAAGTTGTGGAAATACAAAGGACATAAAATGGCAAATTAACAATAAATTCTGTCCACAACAGGGCCTCTGAGGAAATGTACAAACTGTAAGTGCTCCATTGTTCATAGATTTTCTATTTCGAGTGTGTACATGAAATGACATACTGATAAACACTTTAGCTAAGCACATATATATTAACTACAATATTAAATAGAAAAAAAATATGTATTTGCTTTGTGCCATAAAGAGCATGTTAAAAGGAGGATAATTTGAAACTGATTGTGCTATTTTGAGCCTGAAGGCTGATCGTCGGTAACTACTGGATTCAGTAGTTATACAGAAGAAAAAATGAGTCGTGAGGATACTCTAAATCCTTCGGATATTAAGTATGTCCAAATCATCTTGCAAATATTGCAACTTCAGTATATGCAAAAGGCTACAAATGTATTTAAAATGCTTAATGCTTAACAAGTTTGATATTACATAATTTAGTATTTCCATATTACATAGAGACCAAGAATGGTTTTATATATTAGTTTCAGGATACAAGGTCTTGATAGCTGTACTGTCAAAAGTTAAAAAACATTATAAAAAGCTCAGGTAAATTTAGCCTGTAAAAAAACCACCCCAGTTAAATGCCATTTACTTTAGTTTGTGAAATTTTCTGTTAGGTTTTGTAGCACCGTAACTGGTAAAGTACATATCTGCTTGATTTCTTCAAGTAATCTCTCTTCTACATTCTTCATGATTAAATATTTAAGCAGATACTACAATTCAAACATTTCTGCATATCTAAAATTACTACATGTTTTATTTTCCAGTGGGGGAGTATGTAGGATTTAAGCAATAGGTAAGGGAAAAGAAAAACATTGCCCTAATGCTCTTATGAGTTCTCCTACCACCCCCTCCCATAGTACTGGAAAGTATCCAGGTTTGCTGCAGTTGTATCTGACCATGTAACTGTTTTCCTAACAAATGAATGCTGTAACATTTAATATACTGCTTTAATAACAGTGAATAAATCAGTACATAAGCCTTTTGTTCATGTGTGCTCCATAATCTAGATTTACTCTAAATTAAACCAGATGGTAATTGTTTAACTCTTTAGTTTGAAGCTCTTAACAGTACAAGGCAACTATTAAATGCAGCTTACTCTGAGGGAATCGAGGTGGATTGTCGTTGACATCGGTCAAAGTGATGTTCACGGTGGTGGTCCCTGATAATCCACCCATCTGGCCTCCCATGTCCTTTGCCTGTATAACTACTTGGTACTGCTCCCTGTTCTCTCTGTTCATGTTTGGCAAAGCAGTCCTGATGATGCCTTAAATAAATAAAGAAAAACCAAAAATTGTTAATAATCTCTTTATTTTTGCTGTGCAGCAATCTGCTGCATCTTTTTTTGTATTAGTCTGTGAAATATATTTCTAAAATGTGAATTTTATAGTTTAAAGTACAAATTTCTGCTCACAAGCTTTACAAACAGTCTGCAGAATAGGCTGTCTGTTGAATAAAACCCATTTCTACATCACAGCTCCCTTTCCAGGTGAGGTGGGTGGATCCTGACTGGATGCCAGGTGCCCACCGAAGCTGCTTTATCGCTTCCCTCCTCAGCTGGACAGGGGAGAGAAAATATAATGAAAGGCTCCTGAGTTGAGACAAGGACAGGGAGATCACTCAGCAATTACTGTCACAGGAAAAACAGACTTGACTTGGGGAAATTGATTTAATTTATTAACAATTAAATTAGAGTAGGATAATGAGAAATTAAACAAGAAGTTTAAAACACCTTCCCCCAACCTCTCCATTCTTCCTGGGCTTCACTCCCAATTTTCTCTACCTCCCTGCCCTGAGTGGCGCAGGGGGACAGGGAATGGGGGCTGTGGTCAGTTCATCACACGCTGTTTCTGCTGCTCCTTCCTCCTCAGGGGGAGGACTCCTCACACTCTTCCCCTGATCCAGCATGGAGTCCCTCTCACAGGAGAGAGTCCTCCATGAACTTCTCCAGCATGAGTCCTTCCCACAGGCTGCAGTTCTTAATGAACTGCTCCAGCACGAGTCCCTTCCGTGGAGTGCAGTCGTTCAGGAACAGGCTGCTCCAGTGTGGGTTCCACAGGGTTTTTTTCTTCCTTCTTACATATGCTATCCCAGAGTCACTACCACCATCGCTGACTGGCTTGGCCTTGGTCAGCGGCGTGTCCATCTTGGAGCCGTCTGGCTTTGGCTTTATTGGAATAGGGGAAACTTCTAACACTTTCTCACAGAAGCCACCCCCATAGCATCCCCTACTACCAAAACCTTACCGTGAAAACCCAATACACCGCTTTACATTTCATGCTAAAAATGACAAGATATTTATGCACAAGGTTTATTAGTAGAAAGAACACCTTTTATTAGTTGAAGTAGAGCCTTTAAGAAAAAAAGAAATTTTTCTAGGACACAAACTTTTATTCTTGCCTTTATCAGAAATATTGTTACTTAGATCCTTAAGCTATCAATAGTGCCAAAATTTACTTGTGCTCCACAGTGTCATCTTTAATAACTCCAAGTTCTTACATTTACTATAAAAATTACAAATTATGAGGGAAAAAAGCAATAAATATTATTTCATTTCAGTTAGCATTTAAAATTAATTTTTAGGTGATATAAGATTTTTAAAATGAAAGAAAAAATCTACAGTTTATGGTAAATGGAAATAATGACAATTTTCCTGACCTGTTTCTGGTTCCACAGAGAAATACGGCTGTCCCTGAAGTATGCTGTAAATTACTCTGGCACTGTTTCCATATGAAGGGTCATCGGCATCAGTAGCTGTAACTTGCACCACAGAAGTACCTGAAACATCCAAAGTCAACTTAGCTTCACAGGGAACTAGGTGGAGGTCCATGAACGTCTTCCATTCAAGCAAAGCCCAAATAAAATTTCAGCTAATGTCAACTGGACTTTTCATTTATGTTTATGATCTTACAGTCAACTTCAGGTTCATGCTTCCCTATTTCAGGAGCTTATTCTACATAGATCGAATCTAAACTTCCCTAATCCTACAAGTGTGATTAAGATCTAATTAGCAAAGGTAAACAATAGCTATGGTTCAGCTAAATTCTTATCCTTACCCAGCTACAATCATTTCATACTTATGTACACGCTGCTTCTTTTCAGAAGACTTGTTCTTATTACAATATATATCTGCTTTCCATTGTTTAGACCAGAATATCTTTTTTTTTTTCTGTCCAGTGATGTCAACATGATATGAAACTACACAGAAAAAGATGATTAAATAGGTCATTAGAACTTGGGAAAAACAAATCATCAGTTCTCCATACCTTCTAAGTGTTAATATAGATAGATATAGATAATATAGATATAATAGATAGATAATATAGATATAATGTAAGCAATAGAAAAAAAAAAAAAACAAACAAACCACCAAGCACACAAATCAGCATGACATTATCCAAGTAAAGTTTAGAAATCCTCCATTTTATATCCTTAAAAACAGAGAACAGCCATCATCAAGGCACCTATCACAACAGCACAATGTATGAACCAGAAAAGTCTACATTGCAGATTCATGAAAGTTGATATTTTGTCTCTATTACATGTAACTGAATTATTTCTTGTTTCTAGTGGTTGCATTTCCTTCATATGTTCAAAATAGCAGTATTTAGTGATAGGTCAATTGTATAAGATTTTTATTTCATTTTAGCTTTTAAAAAAAAGGCAGAATCAACTTTGAAGGATAATTCAGGAGAAAAGTGAAGAAAGTGATTAATACCTTTACACTTATAGAATAAGAAAGAAAATAAATAAATAAATAAATAAATTTTCCATTTGTAATGTAATAGTACGTGTCTAATAGTTATTGCTGCCTTATAGACATGCTCTCTAGGCTTCTGCTGAGTGATCAGTGGTTCCTGTGAAAAGCCTGACAGAAACCATGCAAACAAGTGAACAGGAGGAGTATATCAGTATATCAGTTACGTTGTGCACATCAACTGTCAACCCATCAGCTTGTTTTGCTTTACTTCAGTTCACTGAAGTTACTGAGGACCACTGATGCTTGATACAAATACTACAAATACATTGTTTGGTCTGAAATCTGGACCAGAAAACCAAAGGCACTGAAGAACGATCAGTCACGCTGGGGTTTTAAAACTGCAGTGTGGGTGTGATTTATTCAGCTCTGCTTCATCTGGGCCTCATTGTGTCCTTTACATCGGCACAGATTGCATCTGATGAAGATGGCAAGAGTCTTTGGCCTTCAGAATCTAAAGCCTAATCTGAACTCTATAGGAGTGCATAAAGGAGGCAGTGATAATATACTGGAGAATATTGCATTGCATACGTTATTAATAAAACCTATGAATTCTGTAATTTCCTCCTTGTATACTTGCAAAGTTTATTATATGATAAACTAGAATTATAAAGTAGTGAGCTAGGCCCAGAAATAATTAGCCATTTGTCAGAATATTGTCATTCTCAGAAGGCATATTTTAACACAATTTTAATTATAACGTTTGAATCTCCCTAGGGTCTGGTGCTATAGTACTAATTAATATATTTGGCCCTTTTAATGTGTTCCTTAAAGGAACTTCAAACACCATACAAGTATCAATGACTGACCTCACAGTGCATTTACGGTATATTGGACAAGAATCACTGAAGATAATTAACTAGGAGAAACAATCCACAAGATATTCATTGTAGAGCTGAATTAGAAACTTATATTTCCTTTTCCTGACTCCCAACTGAGTTATGTGATATTTAACTAGAGTGAGTACCCTCCATAGTAAATTACCCATACAAATACTACACTGAATTAATAGAAATTTGCTGCTTTTTCTAGTGGAAAAGAGAGGAAATAACTACACATATTCTCCTTTGAAATAAAGTATTTAATGCAGCAGAATAGTAGAGAAGTGGAAACGGTTGCATATTCAGAGAAGTCAATGTCAGAAAGGTCTTTAGCTACATGATACTCCTGTAACTTGGAAAACAATAACCTGCAAACAAGCACGTCAATAGATATTTCCAGTTCTTTTAAGTTGTCCCTTTTAAAGAAAAAAAAAAATAAATTAAACTTGGGGTTTTTTTTCATTTTGTTTTTGGCTTTTTCCCTTTTTTGTCCTCTCTCCTTATGGTAAGATCCGTGTGGAGTGAAAATGTAATTTGTAAAAAATCTGAACATTTGGGGTTTCAAAATGATATTATGATATTAGTCAGAAGATGCAAAAGGAGTTGGTGAGAGAATAGTAAAAAAAAAAAAAAAAAGATTAAAAAAAGTCTTTGTTAATAGGAAACAAGAAGGAAGTATTATAAGATAAATACTATAGCAGAGAGGACTAAGCATTGGGAATTGGTGAAACAGCACTAATGAGGGAATGTACAAAAAGCCTAGGGAGAGAGCCAATCAATAGTAGCTCTAAATGCTGTTGGAAGATGAAGACAAACAGAAAAAGATAACCACAGGTAGAGATGACAGGCTAACTGTGGGACACCAAAACTGCAGTTCACATATAAACCCAAAGGCAGGTTACGACTTACGAAGCACACATTGATATCCCTAAATAAGAATCAGAAAAGACCAGCTAGGGAACATGACAGTAGAAATAGCACTGAAGATACAGGGTGGAATAAGGTTAAGGAACGATTAGAGAATATATAGGCTACAACAGATGAATAAAATAAATTATGCAATGATAAAAATAAAAGGTCTAAATAGCAGAAGGTTCTGAAAGCTTGTCTAAAACGTATCAATAGGCAAAATCCACAGGAAAAGCTGTATAGACGAAAATAGACTCATTTGCAGTTCTGGAAAAAACCTTCAAATCAGCAGAAAGAGATAGGTAGGTGAAGAATATGATGGACAGAACAGCAGATTGTAGTCAGAACTGTAAGAATATTCTGAGTCATAAACTTTGAAACTAAGGAAAGGAAAAAAGTGAAAGAAGATAATATATCCAGTAACCAGTACAAAGACTTCAGAAGAACAAGATTTCTTCTAGGATACTGACCCTACAGCAAGTCCCTGAAGTTGCCCTATTTATCTCTGCCTTTACTATGATTAAAGAGCAGCGGAAGAAAGATGAACAACACAACAAAGAACTTATGGGCCTTTATCAAGTCGCTGTATTTTATAACAGAAAGAGCCACATTCTCAGGTATCCATCTGGCTAATACCACAGCCTGAGGAAGAAATCAAAACTGCTGTTTCTGGTCTGAAAGAGGGTGGCGTATGGCTACATCATGACTTGATACCTTAAGGATGGGAGCAGAGGGAGTAGATAAAGACTTAACAGTCTTTTTCTTACCTCCTGGCCCGCTTTGTACCTCATAGTAAAGAGCATTTTAGGATGGAGCAAACCCTGCACTCCAAGGGATGCACAGATTTCAGTTGTTTCAAGCTGATGCTTCTTGCATGTTTTTGCTACTTGTGCACTTCTTTTGATGCTTTTGGTGAAGAAATCAGGACATTAGGCAATGTCCAGAAGGATACTTTGAGAGACAGTATCAAAAGCTTTGCTAAAATCCAAAACCACCACATCTACTGGCTTCCTTTGGTCAACTAGATGGATGACCTTGTCATAACTTGGTTAAGCAGGACTTTCCCCTCATAAACCCCTGTTGGCTATGACCAAGAACTGCGTTGTCTCTTAAGTGTTTTTCAGTAACTCCCAGAATAACCTTCTGGGTTTTTTTTGTGCACTGAAGTGAGAGTGACAGGCCTGTAATTACCAGAGTCTTCCTTCTTGCCCTTTTTGAAAATTGGGACAACATTTTCCAGGTTCCAGTTGACTGGGACCTTTCCAGACTCCTAAGACTCTTGAAAAATAACAGAGAGAGGTCCTGTGAAGACACTGGCCAGCACTTTCAGTACCCTGGGATGCATCCTATTGAGCCCCAATGACTTATGCACATGCACCTGAAGCAGCAAGTCTCGAACAAGTTCAGGGTCAGCTGGGAGTTTGTTATTGCCCAACACAGGACTCCAGGGGTCCCAGGACCCATCATCAGTGTTGAAGATAGAGGCAAAGAAGGCATTAAACATCTCTGCTTTGTTTATGTTCCCATTTTTGAGGTGACCGACCTTGTCAAGCAGCAGACCAATGTTATTTCTGATCCTCCTTTTGCTGTTAATACATTTTAAAAAGCACTTTTTTGTTGTCCTTCACAGTGCTGTCCACCTTGAACTCTAATTGAGCTTTGGTCATATGAATTTTCACCACCATCACCTACAGTGGTGGAACAGCATCTTAGTAGTCCTCCCGTGTTGCCTGTCCTTGATTCCAATGCTTGCATACTTTCCTTTTCTGCCTAAGTTCTAGAAGAAGATCCCTGCTTATCCAAGCCAGCCTTCTGCCCCACTAGCTTCACTTCCTACATTTTGGAATTGCATGCTCCTGCACTATTACGAGACAGCTCTTAAAAAGCATTAATGGACCCAAATACCTTCAAAAGCAGATACTCAGTGGCCCTTACTGACTACCTCCTTCAGCAGCATAAAGTCTGCTCTCCTCATATCAAGAGTCAAATTTTTGCTGGCAGTCTTTCTCCTAGTTCCAATGATCTGAAACTCAACTACTTTGTAATCACTGTGTCCAAGACAGCCACCAGTCGCCACTTCACCCACAAGTCCCTCTCTGTTTACAAACAATAAATCTAGGCGGGCACCTTTCCTAGTTGGCTCCCTTAGTACCTGCACCAAAAAATTATCTTCAATGTGCTTCAGAAATTTCCTAGACCTATTTGTGTCTGCTGCCTGGTATTTCCAGTTGATGTCTAGGAAGTTAAAATCACCCATAAGGACAAGGGCAGTTGATCTAGAGATATCCCTTAATTCCTTGCAGAATAATTAATTGGTGTCATAGTCCTGGCTAGGTGGTCAATAGTGGACTCTCATGACAATGTCTGCTTTATTTGCTTTCCCCTTCATCCCTACCCAGAGGCTCTCAACTGTGTTGTTGCCAACTGTAAGCTCCATACAATCCAACCCCTCCTCTACATAGAGCATCACCTGCCTTGCCTGTCCCTCCTGAATAGCCTATAACTGTCCATCGTAGCACATCAACCACAAGACTCTTCCCACCAGGTTTAGCTCATGCCAATGATGACATAGCTCTTGGACTGGGCCAAACTTTCTAGCTCCACTTGCTTGTTCCTTATGCTGCACTCATTAATGTAAAAACATTTCAAATGTGCTCTAGTGTACTTAGCACATCATGGAACAGATTTAAGGACATCGCTAGCACACCATCCCCTAAACACTGGCATGCCGCCCCGAGGCTTATCTTTAGCAAGCCCGTTTTTATCCCCTTCCCCCTTCAAATCTTGTTTAAAGCTCTTTCAATGAGCCGTGCTAACTCACGCAAAGATCCTTTTACCTCTTTGAGACAGTTATACCCTGTCTGTTGCCATAAGGCATCTAGACACCATGATCAAGAACCCCAAAGTTCTGCTGATGACACTAGTCTCAGAGCCAGGCTCTTCCTGTTTCTTCCCTTATCATTCTCTGGAACTGGAAAGATAGAGGAGAACACTACTTGTGCTCCTTATCCCTTAACCAATCATCCCAAGGCCCTGAATTCTCTCTTGATTGCCCTTGGACTTCTTATTGCAATTTCATTGCTGCCTATGTGAAAAATAAATAACGGATAACAATCTGAGTGCTTTACCAGGGTAGGAAGTTTTCTTGTCTCATCTTTAACCTGGGCCCCAGGGAGGCAGTAGATTTCCCTGGGTGGGTCAGGTTGGCATACTGGGCATTCTGTTCACCTCAGGAGAGAGCCTACTATGGCAATGACCCATCTTTTTTTCTTTATGGACACAGTTTTGATGCAGGACATAGACCGACTTAATCTTGGTGGCACCTCCAACCTAGATGAACCACCGTCCTCGTTATTGGTTGGTTCCACTTGCAGAACCATGTATACCTATTATGCAAGGGCACCTGGGAAGGCGGGGTAGTCACAGAGGAGACGTGCCTGCTGTGGCAGGCAGGAACTTGTACCACTGGCCCCTGTCCCTTGAGTCACTATGTTCAGCCAGGTGGAGAGAGGACAGGGAATCCCGCATATCATGTGTCCTGTCTGCCTGTTGGGCCTGTCCCAGGGAAGGCAGGGTCCAGTAAACTATTTTTCTCTGACTCCCGACACAGTGCAATACTGTACTATGTTGACTGTGCTGGACTAGATAGTGAAAATATTTGAGTCCTGATAGAATAGTACTTTTTACAGAGCAATATAACTCCTATCTACATGCCCAGGTAAGAGCTACAGCAATTTGGCTTTGTAATTTCTCTTTCTGGTACCTATGCCTGAGATAATATTAATATCCTAAACTCTGCTTAATGTTTTCAGACATTTATAGAAAGTTGTATGTTTCTATATGCTCACAGAGGTAAGTATCATAGGAGACAGAATCAATGCAACAATACCGTTACATCCAAGATATTTCTATCTATGTTCCTTACATCAGAAAGTCTGACATTTTCTTCACCCACTGGGCAAGTAATGAGCTATTTGTAACACTATAACTCAAAAAATCCCCCCAATCTGGAGAGAGCACAATAGAGCAATACAGGAGTTTCTTCCTGTTTTCTTTTTGATGGGGAAGTGCTGTTGTCATAACAAAAATATTTTTTTATGTTTCTTTTTTTTCATAAGTTTATCACACACGTTTTTATACTAAAAATGCTTGAACAGTATGATGTCTGAAAAAAAGACTGATTTAAAGTATTTTAATTAATTATGATATTATATTTAATTATTATACCAATATATGAAGACTTTTTAACATACTAACTTTAAAATTTGTAATTAATTCTATTTGCCTCAGAAGTTTTATGCAGCTTGTTCTTCTAGAACATTTCTCCCCTTCTCCATTCAACTTTTAGTTTGAGATTACAGAGTAGATTTGTTTATATTGGAAAATGAAGTTAGTGTCATGAAGAAATGAATCAACTTTGAGGAATATCTTATAAAATCACATCATCCACTCGTGGTCCACAGATGAACATATGTCTCTAGGGATCGGCCATGAAGCTAAAAGCCATGAAGCTAAAAGCAAATTCTACCTATCAGGTAGTCAGCAGTCTAGCAGCTGAATGACCACATTTATAAAATCCAGGAATATGATAGATTTTAACCTACTTACAATTCTCTAAATTATGCTCATTTTGTTGACAGAATGAAGTCTATTCATTTTAGCACAACTATTAATGCAGGATAAAGTGTTGATACTCTAAATACATCCAAGGTGTTTTTTTTTTTTTTACCCATCAGTGTAGTTTTTTGGATATTTTTCTTATTAGCTTATCTCTTTTACTTGTCATGTTTTAATTTTGTTGTAGTGCAGCAAAATTTTCACTTTCTAAATTTTTATGATCTACATGGCCGTAAGATACACTGGAACCATGCATCCTGAACATTTTAGAATCATTGAAATAATGTCTTGGCTTTTTGAGAACACTTGAGGAAAAGATAGTCTTTATGCAACTGAGACTGACAAAATTAGGAATCAATAGATTATAACTGAATGTTATATAATAGGATAATATTTAATGAAAACACTGAATCATTTTCATAAAACCTTTCCAAGAATATTTTAAGCAATACTTTCTGGAATTTATAGAAAGAACGTGAGAAATAAAGTGGAAACTCTAAAATGTCTTTTTTCAACCCTACTGTAATCTTGCCATGTGCCTCTAGAAAATTCAGCAATGCTCTTTCAAGATGCTCTGCCTATATCTATATACATTTACTGAAATGCATGATTGCAGAGAACTTATCAGTAAATTAATAAATCAGTATTACATTTTGTTCTATTTTGGAACAGTAGACTTTTCAGTTCTCTTTATGTGGACTAGTCTGATGGGATTCTGCTATAGCCCTTTGCAACCATCTGACAGATTTCTTCCTCTTTCTTTTTTTATTTTCCTTTATGCTAAAAAATGTTTGATGAATGTTGGGACTTTTAAAAATGATTCAATCACAAACTAAAAGCATATTGAAATATCTTATTAAGAATACAAAGTTATTAGTATTATGCTTCCAACATGTTGCTGCACAGCTTTGCTGAGCCCATTCTCTTTCAATAATCATGCATTTTCTTGCTCTTTGAACATTGTCCAATGCACAGGAAAGTAAAACATAAAATATCTCAAAACACTGTATGATCTTGTTCAGGCAGTGGTAGTAATTAAAATAGTAATAATAGCCAAAAAAGGCATTGAAGTTATTGTGCTTTCCGAATATTTAGAAATTAGTATTATATCTACAGCTATAAAATAAGTTAATATTAATTTTTGAAAAGAGACTCTAGATATTTTTAAGCTTTTCAAAATTCTTCTTTAAGAATTGTATGCATTAAATATTAATAGCTCATACTCAAAAATGCTGTTGTTTATGAATCTGACCAGCTGGCACGATCCAGGCCACAACTTTGTAGTTAAGATAGGAACTGAAAATACATTGCAAACAGCAGAAAGATTAACTCAAACAGCTGTTTAAGATTCTTGAAGTTGTATTCATGAGTGAGTTAGGGGAGGCACTGAAAGTACAAGAAGATTTGTCCATATACCAAAAAATTGAAAGCAAAAAGAATGAAGAGGGTGCCTACCTTCAGGCTGTGCATCAACGGCACATGAATAAACATATAACTCTCCTCAGCCACAGAAAGAGTGAAAGTGGAGACAGCTCTCCATTCCCTGCTTATCACCACTGGGGAACTCCAGTGAAAAAGAAAGGAAATATTCGTTGAGCTTTCAACAGTCTAATTTAGTGATCTTACTCTAACAGTTCTTAAGGAGCAGGGTGACGCATCATTAACTACTTCCTATTTATATTTATATTCCAAATCACTGTAAGTTAATATTTTGAATATTCTAAGTAGAAACAGATCGCAAATCACAAACATCTGTTGCTGGATGCAATTCCAATATTTGAATAAACAAACCAAAATGAAAAATACTTAACTCATGAGGCAGAATTCCAAACATGACTGACTTTTCAGAGGATGGGGAAATTATGCATCAAGTAACACAGAGCAGTCTTTTGTGCCTCAGTATAAAGCACTCACCCACTACTGACATTTCAGGAACACTAGCAGTGTAAAATTTTTCTGGAAATGTTGGTTCATTGTCATTGATGTCATGGATTTTGATGACAAACTCAGATTCAGGTTCCACTGGTCTCAGAGTTCTTCTGTTAATAGCTTGGGCACGAAGGGTGTAAAAGGCTTTCTCTTCCCTGTCAATTCTCCGAGTAGCATGAATGTCACCCGTTTTCTCATCAATTATAAAAAGAGTGCCGGCCCCATCTCCTGACAAAATGTATTTGAGGGATCCATCTCCCTTGTCCTGGTCTGAATGAAGCTGAAAAAGAAGAAAAATAAGAACTCAGTTAGAAGTAATAGAAAGGGATGTGGTTTTTTTAAAAAATAAATTATTATATATTAAATCATTCTCCATGCAAGAAATATGTTTAATACCAACAAAGTAAATAATTTTCAGTCACAATTGACTGGCAGTCATAGTGTCATACTGAGGATTTTTTTCCTAACTTAACTCCAAGAATCCTTTCATTTGACTGTTGTGACAGATTTTAGTTTTTGCAGCAATACCTGTTCTCTGCTAAGAAACTTTTGCACCACAATTCTTAAAGAAGATTTTTATGTTAATACTGACCTTTTCCTTCCTCTAAGAGATCCTATTAACAATTCACAACCTGCTGTGTTAGTTGTAAATTCACTAAGCGGATAAAGAACATGGCAAAATACATGACAATTAAGGAAAACCGAAGAACTCGTACCATGTCATACTAAATTTTTTTGAATTTTATTTGATATTATTTACATTTCTCCTAAATTGGAGAACATTTAATTTCAAGTCATTGTATTTTTCACTCAATCAACTAATGTAAATAGCTTAAAGGAAAAAACTCCCAAATTATTAAGCATTCAGTATTGATTTAATACCCATTAAGTAAGTAATAGAAAGCTTAACATCATCTATTAATGACCTTTAGTACTAACTGACTTTAGTACATGCATAACAAAAAATATTATTTAATTATGTTGCTTTCTTCAGCATAGTAATGTGGTTGGCTCGTTTGGATACGCTTGCCATAACTTCTCTCATCAACTTGTTGGAAATTTCCTTCCAATCACATTGATTTCATAAATAACTGAAAGTCTGGCATTCAGATTTATTTTCACCATAAAATGTATAATTTTTTTAATTTGGAGTTCAGTAGAAGCATCAAATCAAGCAGAAGTTCTGATCACAAAAATGAAGCGCAAATATAAAGTCTTTTTAAAAAATCACTCAGTAAATACTGTTCAGAAAAATTCAAGGCAAAACTAGTTCATTTTTTCCTTTCTAAAAATAGTTATTTGAACACACATTAACAACATCAATTAGAACTGTGGTAAGGTCATATTTAGTCATGTGTGGGGTTTTTGTTAACTTAAGCTCACATTTCAGATCATGAAAGACATTATACATGTAGCTCAGTATAAATATCCCCCTTGGAATGCAGCCACGGAAATATTTCTCTTTTTTGTCTATGGTGCCCCTGTATTTTCTTCCATAGCATCCATTTTAAGCCAGTTTCAGAGGAAGAATATTCAACTATTAGAATTCTGAATGTGGCTTTCTTTGCCTTTTGTGCTGAAACCAAACATACACAGTGGTCTGGTAGGATAAGCTGAAGTCAAACAGTAAACTTATTTGCCAGGAAACATTTTCAAACACTAAACGTTTCCCACACACTTGCAATATGTAGAAAAGAAGGAGCTCATGTGAAATCTTGAACCAAAGCCTTTATGGTAAAAACTTAGAAAACTGTCATTTTTCTGAACTTTGATTTTCTATATAAAGGTTTTCCTATTTTATTTCCATTCAGAAGTAAATCTGGAGAAACACTGTAAATATTTATCAAAGGATGACAAATTAAATGTTGCTTACATTACATATGTGTATGTTTACTTTATAAAATACACATTTTCTTACTACTTTATTTTTTAAATAATATAATAAATAAATACGAAGCTCCACCAAACATGAGGAGTAGTAATGTAGATAAGAGAAATCTTTTGCAAATAAATCCTATTATTTGTTTTCCTTCAGCTTCACTTGCTGACTTCAAACTGAAGGTTTCAAGTCATTCTCACTCCCCTTTTGGGGAAGGAATTTTTATTGTGAACTTTGATCCCTCATGCTCCTCTTTTGATGGCCCACTAAAGTTGTGATCTTTCATCCTTCTAAGTAACGTTCTTTTTAGGAGACTGGACAGTATCTTTCAGGCTGTGGCCCATTTTATAATGTAATTTAGTGTAACTAGTCCTCAAAAGCTTTTTAAGTGCTTTCTTCTCCAGGTCTTCCTAGGATACTGCCTTATCTTCAAAAACGTTTTGGTGCTAAGGGCTCACTGGTGGTCCATGACAACTAGATAATATTTTCACAACAGAGTGATGAAAAGAAGTTATAGGAGGCTGCTGTTTCTTAGACATATGCATCAGAAAAACAAAATAAAGGCCCATTTGGGGTAAAAAAAAAAAAAAAAAGTTTAAATAAGTACATTGCAAATTTCCTATATGTTTTCCGTAGTCAGATCTGGTATTGGAAATTCTTACCAAAGTTGACAATAGTATATTGTGGCTGCAATGCCCATTGTTTAACTCGGAAATCAGTTAGCAGTGTCTGGCAAAACCCATTCTGATAAGTTCTCTATCTCCAGAACAGCATAACCCCATACAAACAGTTCCCAGGAATAGTATCTGGCCAAATTTAACTCACAAATCATGCATGGAAATTGTTTTGGAGAGTGATATTTAGCAAAAGCATGCCAGAAACTTGTAAAATAATTTAGCAATCCCAATACCTGCATTCTGGTGCCTGAAAATGTTGCCTGGCATTAGAAGTACAAACACAGTGTAATGAAGAGAATAAACAGAAAATGAAGAAAATGCATACACTACAAAATATGAAGCTTTTGAACAGCTATATTTAGATCCAATTCAGGGTGTAAATATCTTTTAATATATTTGTCTAATATGTAAGGTACTATCAATGTTTTCCATCCCTTCTCCTGTAGCTATGTGTGTGTCAAAAATTCTTACTGTTTTGGAAGTGAAAACCACTGTTCTTACACTACTCACAAAATCTTTAACCTCTTATCTCCACCGAATTTAAACATTACAGGTTTTTTTCCCCATCTTTATTAGCCAATATTAGCCAAAAGACTGGAAAGGGAGTAGAATAGAAGATTTTGATACATCCACAAATAGTTTTTCAGGGAGCCGATAGTTGCACTTCAAAGTAACATAGTGATGATGAATACCAATGTGCATAGTTTAGAAGAACACTTTAAGCTATAACACTTCGCATTTTCTAAAAAATGTTAACAATTTCACTTTGGATTGGTAATCCAATTTAAACTTTATATATACACATAACAGTCCACAATTATCGTACAAAAATTTTAATTTCAGAACGACATTTCAGAAGGTCGTCTTGGACGATCAGGAAACACAAAGATATAGATACAATAGGCAAGGTTTCCAGATGTAATTAAAGGAGTGAAAAATGTGTATTATGTACAAGCAAGGAAAGAGAATACCTCTCATTTCATTAGTTCAATCCAGGTGTTACTAGAACATACAAGATAGCTAAAGACCACCCTATGTGCTTGGCAGCCTTTAACATTGAATCTTTACCCAGCTTGGAAATGCATGAACAGTGTGTCAACTAGCACTGCAAAGTTTTGTCATTTTACTCTAGTATTAAAAAAAGTTCTATGAAATATTTCTCTCCTAATTTTAGTATAAAGTGTTCCCTATAGTTATTTTGGCTAATGACATCTGTGATTCATGTCAGCCAAGTTGAAAAATAGAGAGACATCTGTTTCATTTAGCAATTTTATTGCACAAAATGATCAGCTGTGAAGATGTGGTTTTGTTTTCATACCTGTCACTGATATTTTGCAAACTCTGGTTTCAATGAATTTCTTGCTGTTCTTCCACAGAAATACTTCCCTTTTCAGCTGTCAGTGGTATATGTATTTTATACATATTTTTTCTCACTCTATAGAAAATCAGAATGTCTGTTGGTTTTATTTTATATATCCCTGTTTCATCATATAGTATTTGAAAGTACTGTGAAAGACAATTTTGCATACATGGTCATCTATCTAATCCAGTTGAACAAACTTTTAAATTGAGAAAGATTTCATGTATGTAAAAAAGGAAGGTGTTGCTAAACAGAAGATAATATTTAGAGAGGGTAACAAAATGGAGTGTTATGTGAATACTTAAAAAAGAAACTGAATTAGTAATCCAAGACAGAGAGAAAAACAGGTTTTAAAAGATGTATTTCTTTTTTCCTTCAATTACAATAAAAACAGAGTTAAATAATACATACTACCTTGTTTTTCAAGGTAAATGAAACCATAGTTAAAACAAGTTAATGAAAAGATACCACAACCAAATTCAGCACACTGACTTTTTAGATCTGTAAAAGATCTTTGGAAAATATCTTTCAGAAGACTTTAGAAGAACATAATATTTCTGCTTTAAAAATTACTTGAAAATTACAATGTGGGAATTCTATGTTAATTGGCTTCCAATGATTCAAATCAGAACTGGCAATTACAGAAGTGTGGATTTTCTTTCACCCCCTCCTATGAATTCCACCCAAGTCTGAAACCTCCTAATTAAGTACAAAGGTTGTGGAATTTTTTCTAATTGCGTACAAAGTGTTAATCCTACTTTCACCAAAAAACCAGAAGATGCTACTGTGAAAAAAAGAGAGCAGATTGGATTAGCCAGGCCTGTTTTGTTACACAAACTACTTCTGGAATTTGAAATGATTTATGACAATGCCAGATAAAGACTTTAAGATTCGTCACACCTATTTCTATTTGAATTTCAGATTCAGAAGTCCCTCTATGAATTTCCGTTGATTGGTATTCAGATAACTAGAGACTGGAATATGACTTTATTAACAAAGCAGCCTTTAGTTTGAATTCTTACTGTAGGCATTAATACAGTTCAAGTTGTTTTTTAATCTTAATTTAATATGCTGTAATATATAGGAGACTTTCCAACAGAGTTTATAGGTTTTTGTAGTCTTTACCAAATGACAGACTGACTATTCAATATTACCTCACTAACCACATTTTTACTCTCTACTTTATAATATTAATTTTTATTTGAATAATCTAGAAAATGTTTTTTCTACTTTCTTCTGCAATATATTTCTCAACATTTCAATTTAATCCATGTATCACAGTAACAGAGACCTCAGTACACTCCTAAATTACTCTATCTTTATGATTTTATTCAAATAAGTCCTAAATTTCTCCTAATTCTGAG